ATTTATTCTACGATTCCTTAGGATCCACCAGGATCCATCAGGATCCGGGGATCCAGGATCTGCTTTTTCCCCCTTGCATCGCCTAGTCTACCCAGTACGAAGAAACGTGTACACTGTAGAATGATAGAGTATACTATAAATAGTTCTATTAATTACGTAAGAATTTGACGACTTCAAATAGAATTCTGTCGAAAGTTGTCATATATTCAATCTGACAGCTAGAAAATTTCGAATGCAACCAAAATTCAATCGAATCATGGTGAATTTATATCGACAGACCAAATATGTTGTGAATCTCTTCTTATCATATTCGCTCACTCCCATTACTCTATGCAGTTGATTGAAAATTATCAAATTGTTTTCAATGAAAATCAGTACTGAAGAGCCAGCATTCTAGTGAAAGGTAGTAATTGTAGTAAATTTCAGATATCACTGTTGTAGGTGAACATTATGCTGACACTATGATATCTCTAAACCCAGCAAACAGATCAACCATATACTATAGTTAATACGACGCGTAGACGAAAATAAACAATCTAAAGAACATGAGAACAGAATATCTGAGTAGAAAATACTAAGAGAATTCTTGCACGTTTCGTTTCATTGTACTTTCAAAAGAAAGACATAAAAAGTAGTGTTAAGAATACTTCATATTCATTCAAATTGGCTATTTTCTAACTTCGTTGAAAAGAAATTAGAACGTTCATCGTTCAACGACAAGAGGCAACAAACTGATTTCTTGGTTGCTAATGATTTCTGTCAGCAGAAATCAGTTTTATGTAATCGCTGCAAATCAACAGAAGTCATTGAAGAAGCTCAGAAGTCAAGGAGAATTAGAAGAAATAATTAAAAAATAAAAGGAGCCACTAACGATATTAGAGATCAATAGAAATTAGAGCACTTAACTTTAAACTTAGTACTATTGATTTTAAATGATTTCTAATATTTTCTGATAGAGTTTTCTGTAAAGCTCAATAAAATCCAGTTATTTTCTCATATTTAATGTTTTATAATGATTTCTAGCAATTGAAGTCGGTTTGTTTCTCCTTCCTTAACGATACAAAATAAATATTCAATGCGTATGCACGAGCGGAATTTTCTCTAATTTAATAGATGAGATTGAAAATTCTAAAATATTCCACAAGTGAAATTATAAAACTTAATTTTACTTTCATATAACGAAAAGCTGTTGATGAATTGCAATCGCTTATTTGAGATGATTTGTTAGTGATTCACAACGATTTAAAGTAATTTATCTGAGTTAAAATGAGTTAAGATGAATTAATTTTGATTTTCAGCTGATCTAAATCAGTTGTTTCCCCCTTGGTTCATATGCATAGTAGACTTCTTCAAATACTTTTCGAAACCCTTTCCGAAAGGGTAGATGAAAATACAATATCCGATTATCGCATTTCGAAAGGATATTTGAAAGGATTTATGGTTATCTTCAATGATGTCAAGGGTTTATGATAAGATGTATGAAGAGAATTATTGACTTCATCCATAATCTCAAGGGTTTATGATAAGGTATATGGAGTATTCTAATAGCAGCATTAATCTCATCGAAGAATTGGTGAAAGACTGAGTGATATACTGTGATACAAAAAAAGTTCTATATTTCATACATACATTCGCCTACTTTAGTCTAAAATATCGTCAAACATATGGCACAAATTGTTCATCAGACTGTTTTTGTCACTGCACAGCCGGTCGTTATCAATCCGTTCCATCAATTCACCGATAATTGGAGAGTAGGGCTTTGCAATTGTTGTGATGATTTCAAACAATGTGAGATAATTATTCTCTCAATTATTCATTATTCTATGTTTTGGTGTATTATTAGGTTGCTACGCATATTGGTGTTGGCCTTGTTTTGTCTTATCGCTAGCAGGCAAGATTAATGAATCATGTGCATCGTGTTGGTGCGTTCCAAATGCACTTGCTGTATATCGCATGAAAGTTCGGTCTACTCTGCGAATCCAAGTGAGTTACTCAAGACAAAAATAGAATAGAATTGAACGATTGTTTTCTATTCATCAGGGTGATTCCTACAATGACTATTGTGTCGTTTGCTGTTGTCCATTCTGTGCCGGACTTCAGATGCGCAATGAACTGGCTCAGCGTGGTCTTGGTTAAAACGATCGAATATGCACTGAAACGATCGTTTTTACTTAAGAAAACAAACAGAATATCTATATCCCACACTAACAAGTAAAATCGCTGTTTATGTGATATCACTGCTGATATCATCTGCAAACAGTACATAAATACAGATTTTGGCTTTTTAAGGAACAAAATATGTCAAAACAAAATGCAAAAGCAAAATGCTTTTTCTAGCAAGAGAATTTTTTTACTATTTGTTTCTAACTGATTGAATTTTGACTTGAAGCGTTTCTGCAGAGATGAACAATTCATATTGTATCAAATGCAAATATTGCATCGTATGTGAGACAGTTGCGAATGGTGAGTAACGTGCCTATGTCACCCCGTGTAAAAACAAGAGTGTAAGCGTGAAGTGAGTGTGGCGTGGCTATGTGGTATGGATGTTGGTGTGGGCATAGGTCATCTCGTTGTTAACTCCCACATTCGAGTGTAATAATTCAACAATTAAAATTCATAGCAATGATGACAATACGTTTTACAAGGAAATCCTTTCGCCTGTTACTTTGAAAATAATATAAAAATAAATGATCACATGCGACATTCTCTATTCTATAACATGTTTATCTAAAAATTCAATACCTTTGAAGTTCTAAATTTCTAACAATTGTCTCGAAACTTATGCAAAGTGTAGAAATTCACTAGCAAAATCAATCATTTTTTCGCGTTTAAAGTTCTGTAGGTAAAAACCAATCATACTAAGAGAATTAGCTTGTCAAGCTCTACAAACTGGTATATATTCCATTCAAAACTGAGACTGACACTTCCGTATGTTTCCTCGTAATTAGAAAGGTTATTTCTTCAATCGAACTGCTGTTTTGCCTAAAACTATACTAAAAATATTGCTTGGATCATGTACTCGACTCAAAATACATTTCTATCAAAACCATTAGCTAATTTCAATCTTGCGAAGAGGCCTAGAGTGGACTCTTCTTTATTATGATGTTAACATACGACGATGTGATGATCTTTTTACTTTAGTTGAAGGAAATAATGTAGAAAAGTGGACTAGTAGTTTCTGAAATCTATGATTGTTTATGAAACGTTTTCTCCGAATTTAACAGAATTTTATTAGTTTCTATTTTAACATAATAGAAAAACAATTGAGTTTGTAACAAGCTTAACCCGAGATTGAATGAAAATGTCAATGAATTTCACTTCAGTATTTTTGTATTCGACCTTTCTCTTAAAATCGATTCGGTTATGCAATACGTCGAATATGAATGCCATTTCACTTTGCATTCCGCATCTTTATCGATAACCTTCATGCTGTGAAAATGAACAATGTTACATAATTTTCAATGAAATTCGTATTCAATCATAAATCAGATGTCTTCTTTGATTCATATTCATTTTGAATTCAATGTTGTAGAATATAGTTTGGCTTTAATTTTGGCACATTTTCAAGCGTGAGTTTTTACCTTTTCATATGAAGCTCTTATTACAGACGATAACAACCAGGATTAAATTATTGATATATGTCACAACTTTATTTGGCATGTAATTCGATGCTTATAATAATCAACATGTTAATTGAGCAAAAAAAATAATTACGAAAATGAAACATACTGGGAGAATAGCAACAATGAAAGTGAAAAATAAGAGGACTGTTCCAGGAAAAAACAATAAAAAAATTCTTGATTTTATACTTTTTGGGTGTAGATACAAGAGACTAAATGACACACGCAGCCAGACTCACCCTTTACATCATATTATTAGAAATAACAAGAAAGAGATCCTCAAAGCAGTGATACTAGTGACAAGTCAAAGTGAAATTCATTAAAGTTAGCTACGCCAAGCTTAAAAATAGAATTCAATTAAAGTTTCAACTGTTCTCGGAATAAACGAGATATAGGTGATGGGAAATAGGCACTGCTAAAGTATTCGCCTTTATAAAACCTCTTTTTGAATGAAGAAAATAAGTAAACTATATAAAAATATAAACAAAAGAAAAGTCGGTGTTCAAAAAATATTTGTTAGTTCCAAATTTTATTTCGTACAATAATTTCAATTGAATATCGAATCTTTGATTCTAATTTCATTCGCACTAATGAAATTTGTCTGCATTGGCTAGCATATATATTGTCTACTTTAGTAATCAACCATTTTGTGGCAGTACAATTTCTCAATCAATCGCATCTTGACAGAAAATCTATCACGCCATTTTCATCTCAAATTCTAGATCATTATTTTACCATGAAAAAAAAATGAATACTTGCTCAAAAGCCTCGAAACTGTTTTGTATATTAAACAAAAGTGTTCAGGGTGTGGGACGTGGGGGTGAGTGTGTGTATGTTTTTGTGTCAGTCATCAGTCTACCCGCATCCCACATTCGCAGCACACGTACAGCCACACTTGAGACGCACTTCATATCTAGTATATGTTGGTGTCGAAATAAGACGCTAGACGCATAAATCGTCTTGGAAGACGTGTGACATTTTTTAGAGCGTTATTAGTGTAATACATATGCCTGTTCTGTCATATATAGATGAATAAAGAATCCATTTTCCTTTTAATAATCACTCTTTGCGTTTCTGTAGTTCTATCGAACAAATACTATGTATCTGAACTACATAACATAAAATGGAACACTACTGAGAGAAAAAAAACCGGCTAATATAAAGGAAGATTTATGTTACATGTTATTTTACATAGAGTGACACAATTCGATTTTATCTTTGTTCGATAGTAACTCATTCAATTCGTTAGTGTCGACAAAATTCGCGAACACATTTTTATTGAAAACAATATTCTTTGTATAGTGTTGAATGTTTCACGTTTGTGTAAACATTTTCATAGTCAACTTATTTATTTTTATTGATAAGATATATATGAAGAAACTAATATTTACAATTGAAATATCGCAAGTGTTGTACGCGATTCAATAATTCAAAATCTGCGTATATTATAAAACAATTATTAACATGAAAATATATCAGTAGAAGAGAAAATTCCATCGATATTTTTGATTGATTTGGATTACAACGGTATGTTACAGTATTTATAATGCCGCAAAGTGATTGTTGTTGACATGATGCATAACATGATGTACAATCTTTGTTCGTATTAGCTATATAATTTCGACATCCATTCATGTTACAACACCGACATTGACAACGTGTATTTACATTACTTTGACTTATACATGTACCATTAGTTTGACCCAGATAAAATGAAGATGGACAGAGTGAAGGATATTTCTTGTGACATGATTCTGTACAAGCCGATGACGAACATGAAAATGCTGTTGTGAAACCCACATCGATATTTGGTGAGCAGTTTGAACCCGATTGACAGCCCATGCATGAACAAGTGTTACGGGTTAAAGAACGAATACTTGCTATACTGCTTCTCATTGTTGATGTTGCTGTAATAGGACCAGTACACGTATCATTTGTTTGTCCATTTTGATTTCATACACATCGATTCGGATATTGTGCAGCACATGAAATACTACAGGAACCTGGTTGACATAAATAAGCAGCACTATAACCAACAAAAGCGGGAGTACAGGCAGTTGAACCTGTATTGCAACAATCACAACGACAATTGCACAAAAAGTTAGGAGACGATGAACATTGTGCTGAAAAATGACCGCTTCGATTATTTATTTGACATTGAGAATATCAAATGAAACAGTGTCGAGGACATGTCCTTGTATCACATGATTGCAGGATAACATTACCAAGGACTACTGGACTGCAAAAACGACCAATACAACAAGAACATAAACAAGCATTTTGTTGAGCTTGAGAATATCTTATTAACAAGAATATAATCAGTATATACATTATTGTTACTCTTTACTAGTACATACAGTATCTAATATATAACTATTTTGCACAAGCGAATAATATAACAACAGATGAGATTAAGATATTTGCTTGGCAGACGGTAGAGGAACTAACAAGAAAAAAAAGTGATCTCTGTTAGCGTACTTCAATTTTTTATTTTTGTAATCCTCCGTTCTATTATTTTTCACGTCTTAGATACCAGCGTCCAAAACAATGATGCGATGAGCAGCGAGAGAAAAGAATTCAAGAATGTTAACAGAACAAAGTAACATAGATACGAATAGAATGCACTATGACGTATGAAATGTGTGTCTATAGTATAGTTCTCCATCGACAAAAATATGTGTCCACACACATTCCAAATGACGAGAAAAAAACACGAAAGAAAAAAAAGACAACGAAGAAAGAAATTATCGAGTAAAATGCAAAACAAAATCAAGTTCGTGAACAAGAATGAATGTATAAATTAGAATTTGTGGGACCGTATAGAGGATTCATGAGAAATAGACCGAGTCAAAGAAGAAAGAGCGGATAATGATCGAAATGTCTCGGGGAATTGATAATTGGATTGCATCGAGTCGAGACATTGTAGTAGATTCATAAAAGAATTCGCTATGGGATGGATTTGTGCTGAGTCTGATAATTCAAGTGCTGTAAGAGTAGGTGTTTGACGACGACGGAATTAAAGTTGGATACGATGACATAAATAAATGGTGATGGGAATTAATATGAAAAATATGATAGTAAAAGAAATGGTAGTACCAAAAGAAATTCTACTAAATCAATCAGTGCCATTAAGATGAGCAGCATAGAATTGTTCCAATATATGAATACAGTTATAAACTTTCGAATTCAGAACCCGTTTGACTCGATCTCCATGGATGTTCAGACCGTAAAATAAAAGACAGTATAAAATGGCTAATATAAACGAATGCATTAGTTAATAATTAGAAACAAATTGTAGAATAAAAGAAAGTATAAGAATTGTGTGTGATGCGTGAGAAGAATACTAGAAATGAAGTGGGAAATAAGAATGATACATGAGTATATGAAATGAAAATCAAATTACTCAGAAATATTTAGGACGCAATGTGAAATACGTAACAAGCTGTTGAAAATCAGCATAGAATCAGTCGACTATTGTAGCGAGTTATACTGCAAACAAGGGAATGAGAGAGTTCACAGTGACTTTACGAATGACAGCACTTAACTTGACATATTGAACAATATATGTTTTATCAACCAAACTAGAGTGTGGGTGTGAGTGTTGGTCTTGTCTTCTCTTTGTGCACACCCACACCCAAATCCACATCCTATAAAAACAAAAATCAACTGCTGTATAGGATTGAAAACAGCGTTCAACAAATATCGATACAAATCAGTTTAATTATTCGTAAAATCAGCATCAAACACTGTATTCGTATTTTATATCCTAACATACATTACTTAATAGTTTTCACTCGTTTGTAGCAGTCAACCTTAGGGATTGATTAGACCAATCACGGTAGCACTAATTCGTTCTTCCATTGAAACTTCTTTGTGTGGCATATAAGTACATAAATCACTAAAGGCATTCAAAAACTACAAAACAATTCCCATAATTCGTAAAAGTAAATTGATTGGATACAGCTGAACATGTGGCTGTTTGCCTGATCCATTAGAGAACCATTCATCTATAGCTTGTCGCTGTTTTATATTATCATCAAAATCTAAAAGAGCTTCCAATTTTAATACTGAATTAGTCGCAATCTACTTAACAAAGTGACAGACTAAAATAATGCAGAAAGTTACTAGGAAAAATTAACTTTCATAAGGAAATTCAAAACGCTTCTCTTAAAGTTTCACCAGGATATAATGGAAATGGTTCTTTATAATCTTTATCCAATCGGATTTCTATATCACCATGTAACAATTTTACTTGGCCATTTTCATCAAATTGAATTTGACCAATGTCGTTTTTCACAACGGGATTTTCGACAACACAATAGTGTCTCGGTGGTAAGATGATCATTTTTTCTGGCCCTAGAGTAATTGTCTCATTGTCTTGTCTAAAAAATGTTTTCGGACCAATTTCCAACCGTGTTACGCCTGTATTTTGATCTAATACGTGAATATAATAAAACGATAGGATGTGATAGACGGGGCCGGTTTGAGATGGTAAACTTTCCGAAGACATATTAATGCCAAATTTTCGTTCTAGAATAAACAAACAAAAGAAAAGAAAATCGGATGTAACTGTCAGGGAAACTCGTTTTTTCAGAAGGATGACTTGTTTCTTTCAACTATGCTCGTCAACACATTGCACAACTGTTATGAAACAACTCTGCTGAATCAAAACAGTCATGCACGTAATTGCAAGAGCTTTTGTAATATTCTATTCTGTGCTGTTGTCATACGTCATAGAATACGATAGAAAAGAACTTTTCTTTTTCTTGTCGACGTAAAACAGAGATTGTTTTGAAAGTGAATAAGTCGAAATACATAGTGCTGCTTTCTGTTAGATTGAATGGTCACACTGTTTTGCCTCTTGAGCCGTTTCATACACCTCGTTCGTGCTGCCAAAGACCTTCTCATACTATAACTACAAGACAAAATATTGGTTCTAAGGAAATTAGAAATATTTGACAATGTGTGAAACTCGAATGTCACTACATCTATTTGTCTTTGCCCTTTATTGCAAAGAATTGAAATACAAAATCCGTCTTATTCCTTCTCTATAGGGCGTGAGTGGTTTTCCAATGCATTCATACCCAAATCCATACCCATATTGGTGAAGGCCTTGTCGATGAGAATGATGTCGAACAAGCGCAGAAACATCGATTGTATATTAAAAAAAATTGAAAACAAGAAAAACAATCTTACAAAAAGAAGGCCTCAAAAGTATTGGCGTCAATTGAACTGCATGACTTCTCATAGATCTTAATCGTAACATAAGACCGCTTCACATAGACAAATTTTATGACAATATTGCTTTTGCTTTGAAACATAATGTAGTTCTGAGAGACATATTCTATTTGAACATCATAACATATGAAAATTCGAAGAAAACTGCTAAAATTCTATTCAAGAGTGAATATTCTAAGTTTGGAGATGAAATAAAAGCTTACAATTACATTTAAATCTTCAATCGTAAACCAAAATAAACCATGAAGAAACAAAAAACATATAACATAATGTGATCATCGAATTTAAATCTAAAGGATTGTTCAGAGAATTCCTATGCTCGAAGCTGTGGCTGTAAATGTTGATGTAAGTGTGTAACTCTGGCTTTCGTTTACATTTTTGTGGAAAGTTGACTTAACTTGTGAATTAATATTAAATGTATTTGCACTAAAATACCGAATATGACGACAATATAATGATGACAACAAGAATCGATAAACTTATATCTTATTATTTGATTTCGTATTTTAAAGTGTGAGTGTGGGTGCGGACATAAAAAGAGAAAGATAACAGCCACAACCACACGCAACATCCCATCCACATCCACTCTGCCTTTATTTTCAAATCATGCTCGTTATTTCTGCAATACATGTAAGACAAAACGATTATTGATTGTTAAATACAGTTATCCTTGTGAATTTCTCTTTCATGAATTCTAGTTTCTCAAAGAAACAATTATGTCGAAAGATTTTTTTACATAGTAGAGTCTCAATGAATTGAATTCTCTTTTACATAATCGGCTTAAATACTTAGCCATTAGTCTTTCTAAAGATGATAAGATTCTTTTTATTTACAGGTATCTTCTTTGTACAAATCTGTATCTCGTGAAAATAATATTCGACATATTTGTGTCTTGGAAGGACTAAGGTTAATGAAGAGTCAGGGTTTAGACATAAATCGATATTATTTTATGTAGCATAATATAACTTTGTGCCCTTTCGTTGTCAATATGAAGACGAGTAGTTTAAATAAATTCGATAATCTGTCTTTATTTTAGAGTAATCTGAAGTATTATTCACGTAATAAAAGTATTTTCATACTGACTGGAAGAACCATTTTAAAGTTTTTTGAGTTAATTAAAAATCGATTGATGGGTCTAGAATTTTATTTCGTAAATGAGATATTCGATGTTGATTATTTACAAATGTTCTAAGTTTATTAGAAAGTGTTATTAATTTTAACATAGAATTTCGTTTATCCGTAGAAAGGCTCGATAGCTTGAATCATTGATTAATAGTCGAATGTAGACTAATGTCCATTTAAAAAAGAAGAGCTGTGACCATTTTCTGAATAACTTTTCATTGGAATGACATAGAGACCTGCGATTTTGACCGTTGGAAAGAGAAGATGAAGACACATCGAATCGTATATTATAGCATTTTCCGGCAATTTTTATTGAGTGTTTTTAATCGAGATTTTGACAAACCGTGCATCGCGCTCAATCACCACAGGGAATTTTCGATTTTTAGGAGTGCATCAGAACCGCCAATCGAAGATCTACAAAACTGCGCAAGGCCTAAATTTTTAACTTGTAACGTTCAGGAGTTAAAGGTATTTTTACTGTGGGCTTCTACATGATTTTTCGAGAAAATTAGACGAAATCTCCACTTTTTCGCTAAATTTTCATGAAAATTTATAGTACCAATCGAGCCCAAACATACACATTTAAAAAAAAATTCAATTGAAAGTTTCGAAACACTTGTCAGTAAAATCTGTAATATATGATTCGATGTGTCTTCATCTAACTTTCTAACGGTGAAAACCGCAGTTCTCTACCCCATTCCTATGAAATGTTATTCGAAAAATGATCAGGACTCTTCTTTTTTCAAATGGGCATTAGTATTTCGTCAAGAGCCGGTCGATGCTGGTCCAATGCCTTTTATTCGTAGAGATGCATCAATCGACTTCTGCTCATATTTCTCAATGATTTCTTTCACAGGAGTAGACTTATACGATGATAATGATGGTGTGTTAAAATTTATTGTTGTATGTTTATGTGAGCAACGCCTTGATAAAGATCGAAGCCTATAATAAATGATATTCAATGGAAAATGAGAGAAAAACATTTATACACAGAAAGATGATCATAGTGAAAATACTTCTGAAAATATTCGATGCTGTCATTAAAACTTATTTGAATGCAATCGTTATATTGATACGAATCCTATTTTAGCATCTTTCGATAACAAAACAATATTTTCTAGAAATAAATTTGTCGGACAATTTTTTTTGCTTGACAAATAATAATATAGATTTAGTATAAGATATTGATCGAATAAGATTATATTTTTTGTACTTCTGTCAAGGAAAGAAAATTATAATTTTATTTTGATAAAAGTTTGTTTAATGAATATTGTTTGAATTAGCTGCTTAATTGGTGATATTAATTTTTTTCGAATTTTTTCACGTTTAATATGAACTTCATATGAATGATACCAATCAGAAAACCTTACTATCTCAACGTTTTGGAAATTTCATATATTCAATTAATAAAATGAGACTATTTAGACATTACAATGATATTTTTCTTGAAAAATTAACAGGACTAACGGCATTAATGACTACTATGAGAGTTTTGAACGTTGATGATGTTGCTCAATATTAACCGTAAGGTATAAAATTCATAGTGCGGCGAATAACAGATGATCATTCGATTCAAAAAACCTCCGATGGCTACAAATGATCGTTTTCAAACCATTTGAATATTGATGAACATTATTCAACTTTTCAGTATTGTGATCATAAACGTTTGATATTTGTTTATAATAAGTTGCTGCATTTATTGTCAATCCCATTTTGTAAAAGAAGTATAACATTAATAATGATGATGTTTCTAATTCCACAAATTTGTATGTATGTATTCAATGTTAGATCAATGTCATAGTGAATGTTCATGCCAGCTGTTCCAACCTTTCTTTGACATGTCTGGTCATTGTTTTCTTTATCCTTCCTTCTATGATACCCTTCTATGTTGTTGACTACGTAGTTCATGATCAACTATGATTCAATCAACATATCGTTTCTTCCACATTATCATCTTGTTTTCTCATTTAGATTGTTATGATTTTAGAGCTTCAAAAGTTTGCAAGAGAAAAAATGAAGGCAAGTAGCTGATAATAATAGACAAAGCACAACACTCAAACTTGATTGATTCATTTCAATAAAATTTACACTGATGAGAAGAAGAAGAGAAGTCAAAAGAATATATTATCATATATTCTGATAACATAATGCGCACTATATATAATTAATGACATCATTGATATACAATTTATGGGTAAAAGATAATAGATAGAGTAGAGGAAAGGCAATAACAGACTCTTGTATGGTGGTATGCATATATAGTATTCTGATCATTATGACTGGTTATGAAGGTGTTACCTAATCATTTTATTCAATGTTTTCAGTTTCACTCATGTGCTCATTTTTGTTTACTGTTTGTACAGCATATATTAATACGTGTTCAAGTTTTATTTGATATTAATTATGTACCTGTGTTTTTGATGAATTACTCATTGGTTTGATCTATAATTGTAATAAATAAAGAAAAAAATTGTAGACGTATAGATTCAGGCATTGTGTATCTTTATAGTTGATATATCTTGACTTTATGTTTTCTCTGTTATTGGGTCGCTCTAACTTCGTTTTTCTTATATAAATGAGTGTTTTGTTTCATAAGGAATTGATTTCTAATATACAGAAAGAAAATAGAAGGTAATCATATTCGAATCAGCTAATTAGTAAAATTTTTTAAAATCTACTTCTCACATAAAGTAGAAAATGAAAAATAAAAGTGTTTCTTTAATTTAGAACTTTCCTGAGACTTCTTAATGTGTAAGCTGATTGTGAAACTATTAACAAATCAATAGAAACCACTAATATCCACGGAGTAATTTTGTAGCCCTACTCTATCTTATCTACCTTACTACAATCGACACAAGAGAAAAGATTTTGAGTAATATTATGAGCTAGATTAAAGTTTATATGCCTTACTATTTAAATTCATCGGAAAAAGTACTCAATAAAAAAAAGATAAAGATACATACTATAAACAAGAATGAAACCAAAAAATATGTTACTTATAACTTCTATTGTATTTTCTTATCGAATTCACACAATTGATAAGTCTCTAATTAAAATATTAATACATTGAAAATCATCGTTTTGTATTATTGATAGTTATTTATTAGCAAGAGCATTTTAGTCTGCTCTTGGTGCTAGATGAACAAGATGAGATGAAATCATTTTGATATAACACTAAGAACAAGATTAGACATAGAACAAACATCTTCATGCTCATTAAACGATATAGAACTTATAACTTAATTTTTTTATGTGAGGAAAAATTCTGAATAAGAAGTGTAAATATTATTCTTCTATAATTATGCTGTATGTTTTAACTGTATCACATTCTCCAGTATAGCGTTCGACTTTACCTTCGGAAGTTTATTCTTGAATTTTGACTCTCATCGACCTAAAAAAAGGTCTGATCCTAACCTGTAGACATTTTTAATAGCAACAAAACTGAGAAAAGACTTTCAGATAAAATGATACAATATATCTTGACGTGGTATATTCCGTTTTTGTTCTCCGTGAGACTACGCTAGAATGTATCGAAACAACGTGAACACATACTTGTTAGTTTTGAATAGTCATATTCTTTCTATTACGAACGTGTAGAAGATCTCCGATGACTTTAAGTAAAACACTGTTGTTATTACATGTTTCTATTATATCGTGTTCGTATTGTATCAAGACATTTAAGAGTACATCCATGACAAATCATCGACTTAACTAGAGAAGATATTTATAACTTTTCCAGTTGTTAAGCATTTTGTTCGAATTGATTTTTCTTATTTCTTCCTTAAATTACACAAAAAATTCATATTATTATTGCCCATTACTTCGCTAAGAAGTTCGTTTTTCTTTTTCTTCAGTCTCACCGATAAAATTTGATGCCAACAAAGCATAAATCATTTTTCATTACCACATGCAATTCTTAAAGAATATATTTATTCGCCTTCCGAACTGTTCCATTTTAAATCTTTCCTTATAAAATGTTTTTCTTTTTCTTTTCTAATACATATAGACGCTTGTATTTCTCTCCTTCCTGACCTTACAATGTAATTACAGCAGAACGAAAAAGACACATTCTCAAGCGTACACGCACTGAAGAAATGACAGTGAATCCTATATAAATATTTTTCTAAAGACCTATTCATCTATGTGGTAACAGTAAGAGGTAAGAAGTGAATGGATTGATTAGTGAATAGATTTTCGTTGACGTTATCTATTCAGAATGAGCTTTTATGATAATGAAACGCGTTTTTATCTAATTTTAAATTAGAAACTAATAAATCATAAGAGTAATTATAGTCCAATTGTTGATAAGTTTATACATATGACACCAGTTCGTACATTATCTAGTGAGTCAAAACATAAAAAAATCCGATTAAAATTGAATTTATCTTAGATTCCGTTTGCATAGGTTCAGTACATTCATCTTTAAATTAGCGGCGTTTCTTATACATATTACCGGTAAATAGTTCTTGAATGTTGAACGCAGAGATCTATAACTTCAAGGTTTATTACCTGTTTAGCGTTGACTTTATTGTCTAAATTCTAGATACTTCGTCATGGATGCACGAACATCGGAATCCAGTAACGACAATGTCGTTCCATGCGGAGTCGATTGGAGCGATCGTGCTCATCCTTCATCTTACTGCTGGTTTCCTCTTACATCCAATGATTCATCGACTGCTCCGTCATGTGCATACGGTTCATGTGCAAAGTGGAAGCAAACAGGTCAATCAGCACTTCTACAATGTCAATCATGTAATTTGATAATGTATGCACATCATTTGACTAATTCATCAACGTCAAATAATGATTCTATTCAATCGTGTCGTCCATCATTTGTCGATAATACAGAACAAGGAAACTCGCTGACGAATAACAAAGATAGTCCATTGAAATTCGATCAACATTTTTGGTCTCATGTATCAACACTTCCAAAGCCATGAATGCATGCATTGCCAACCAACATCTATGGTCAGTGGTGGTCCGACTGGGGGGTGGAGGAGGTGGTGTCGGGGGTGTAACACCCACCCCTCCAATCGTCGAAATTGCCGTTTTTTTTCAAGCAAAATCCAAAGATTTTCTTGTGTTCTGTTTGAAAAAATAATAGTACATACCCCAAATATTCTCAACACTTCACTTCCCCTCCTCCCCCTCCCAATGTTGGTTGATTCGGGTCACCCCGGTCTATGGTATCTTTCTTAGATATTATCGATCAGATGAAATCGATGATCAGTTATATATCAGGAACTTTGGATGACGATCTGTCGGACGCTTCACATGGTCTTGTTTGCTTATGGTGTTTCCGATGTTATCATAATTCGTGTTGGGAACAACTTACTCCTCAAGATAAGCTTCAATATGACTATGGTATCTTTCAGTAAGTTTCTCACGATATTTCTTCTAATTGAGTCGAGATAAATCAGTGTTCGTTGATGATTTGCTTTAAGATTTTCAAAAAAATTCCTTTAGTTCAGCGAGATAAATCATTCTAATTTTTGAGTTCATCTAGATGTTATCCACAATAATTTGATTGAACTGTCTTTGCCAATTGACATTAACATTTTGATTTTCATCAACAGAAATATTATTGTTTGGCCACAGTGGTTCAGTCGTTCAAGTGAATCTTCAACTGATTTCAAAGCACGAGCATTTTCGTATTCAACCAACAATAATGCTGAGTCAAACTCATTTCCATATACGCCTGTTCTTGTTTTTGTAAATAAACGCTCTGGTGGTCAAGTTGGTGAGAACATATATCCAGAACTCTTACAAAGACTCAATCCGCGTCAAGTATTTCTTCTAGAAAACAATGTCACAATTACTTATGCTCTGGATATCTACTCTTCGTTACTGAACATGCGTATTTGCATGTTCAGCGGTGATGGTACTGTTGATTGGATTTTTAGCTGCCTAGCCGAGGCCTATCCATCTAGACATAATCTTCCAGTAAGCATTTGTCCGTTGGGAACATGCAATGATCTTTAACGTGTCTTGGCTTGGGGTGAACAATACGATCCGAAATGTCTTTTTCGTACACTTCTACAGACTTCACAAGCTTAAGTTGCTGTACTTGATCGTTGGGAAGTTCAGCTTGAAGAATTCGATGCAGAAAAATTAGCTTTGATAACACAACAACATCATGAAAGTGGTTTCAATATCAGCCGAAATATTTCAGCCATTACTCAACCCTCCTAAATTCATTCAAGAAACCAATCGATCTTCGTATGAAAACTATCAGAAATTGCCGAACATACGCTTTATTAACTACATGAGCTTTGACTTAGATGCTGCTATTGCACTCGATTTTCATGTTGAACGTACACGTGATCCATCGAAATTTTCGTTACCATTGAAAAATAAATTCATGTATGTGAACGAAAGTTGCAAATATTTCGATGATTTTGCTCGGACACAAATGTGAAATTTAGGCTCTCATATTTGTTTGATATGCGATGATCAAGATATCCCTGATACAGTACTTAATTGTCACACATTGGTCATACTCAATATTCCAGGCTATGCATCTGGTACAAATCCATGGAGAAAATCATTGAGAAATTCAATAATGGATCGTGTCAATCAATTATCGACTCTTGAATTAAGCAGTACTTTTATCAACCAAATATCCATGAGGTCACTTGATCCATTGAATTGTGCAGGTGATACCCAAGAAAACAACGAATTAGAAAGTTTGGACGATAGGGATACGGATCAACCAGAGAGATTATCGACAACACAAACAACTTCAAGTAGTCGTTTTCAACCACAAAATTTTGGCGATCGAAAAGTTGAAGTTGTCGGATTGAGTACTACACATATGGCTGCAATCCATGCTGGTTTTCGTGGCAATCGAATCGCTCAATGCAACCGGTTGTGTATTGAACTTCGTTGTCCAATGACAGCACAAATGGATGGTGAACCATTCTATCTTCCTACACCGGTAGCTGTCAATATTAGTCATGTTGATCAAGTACTTGTGTTAAAAAATGAGAACAAATAAATGACTCTGCACATGTGCATGTTTATTCACTTATATTATATTAATCATTTTTCTTTAAGTTAATCTGCCATTTTTCTTCTACCATTTTATGATTCAAAAATTAAAAACTTCTTGGGCTCTAAACGAAGTCCATTATTGATTTACAATTATGAAAACTATTGATTTTTTCTTGAAATGGAATGTTTGTTAAACTAGAAATCGTACTGTCCAAATTGGAATGATCTGAACTATACGAAAAGCTATTTCCATCGAAAGCTAATGATTTCGAAAAAGTGTATATATATCTGAAGAGAAAGTGCACCTCAAAATCCACACCCGACCGTGTATGAAACTCAAAGGTTGCTATTCTAAGCAAAGTTGAAATATATAATTAGTCATCTATAAATGAGAGTGAGTAGAATAGATTTGTTAACATATGCGTTCTTGATAGGAACTTGCATCGCCTATCACTTCACCGTGGAGTACCGACGATTAATCGAGTTGACTGTTTTCATTGTGAGCAATAGAACTGTGCCATATGACAAACTTAACAAATATTTTGGTCGAAGTTTTTGTTTTATAGATAAGTCTTCAAGAATTGGATAAAGTATCTATTTTTCTCTGAAAACATTCTTGACCGATCTATCTATTCTCGTCGTAAGAACAAATATTTATAACTGTTTTCCAAACTCTCATGCACTGCTGCCAACCAATAGGTGTATCTCCATATTCTTTTCCGCAAGGAACATAAGAGAAAACAAAATTTCTGAACGTTGCTATTCGAAATGACAGTTTACTCATTTTTAGTGCAACATTTCCAACGAACTCGATCTTAGTGTGATAGTTATAGTGTATCAGCACACGTATGATAACTTTTTATGATAATTCATCGATATTTCTCGACCAACTTCTAGATTTCTACACCAATAACTCTTACCCTTAGCTAATGGTCTTATACTAAATCCCGCCTCATTTATATCTGCCACCACTCAAATAAAGCTCCTTAAATAAATAAAAATGTATTGTTACGTCGAAGAAAATATAAAATTTTTATTTCTAAATGAGAACAGTGCGAATGTAAATTTGTTACAGGTAAAACGTGTTTAAAACAAAATGACATCAAATTGTTTTGTTTATGAATCACTTCAATTTTTTGAAACGTATTCAGTAAATGGCGCTTCTATTTGTAAGTGTCCATCGTGTGTTAAATGAGTTTGCAAATGATCAGTTTGTGTGCCCGGTGGAAGGGTAATCGATCTGTAAAAATAAGTTTTTTCTAAATGTCGATTATCCTTTGATATGTGTTCACCTTGTATAATCAGATCATTATTTTTGACTGACACTTTAATGTGTTCAGGACGATAATTTTTCATAGGTATAGACATTTGTATTTTTTTTTTATTTTCTTCTGCATCAACAACTTTTGGTGCAAAAGCTGATGTATGAAAATGATGATAATTAAATGATTGATCACGATATTGACCATATGGAAGTAAATGATGGCTATGACTTGCTTGTGATGATGACTGAAGATAACGTTGTTCATGTTCACGATTAAGTAGTGGTATATCCACAATCAACAGATTGTTTGGTGTTACATAGGATACTAAGTGATCTGCATCTAAATATTAAAATTAAAAATATAAATTAGAAATTTTGGACAATTTTACACATCTCACCAGCATGTTCATAAACAGTTTCAGGTAAATCGTATATTTTTTGTTCTTTAGTATTCTCACTATTACTATGATGATGCTTCTTTTTCGCTTCTATAATTAAAAGACGACCTTCAATTGTTGTTTTTATAGTCTCTGGATCAAAATCCGCAATGTCCAGTTTTACACGAAATCTTTCTCCATACGTTGGTATTTGTAATGCTGGCGCAACCTTATCCTTGTGTTCTTTTTTCAGTTTTGGTTGATTAATCCAACGAAATGATATTGGTGCACTTGAATTAATATTTGTCCATGGATCAAATAATTCAAAATCATTTCCGAAATTATCAGAGTCAAATTTCTTATCATTTGAACGACGACGATAGCGATTCACTGGTAATGATGACATTGTCATTTAACAAAATCTAGAATATGAATAGAACTTCGTCAAACGTCATGATCTAGAGCTGAAAATTTTACCACCGTCCCCTTAGTTCAGCCAGAACATATGCTACAAATTTCAAGTGACTTGAATCTTTTCAGTGTGGAAAAGTTTTTGAGGTGGATTAAATTCCAAATTGAATATCAGTTTTAAAAACTATGTTTCTCACACTTTTAAACGCTACCAAATTCTCTTTTGCGAAAGCTGCTCAGAGTTGTTGATTTCTCATGATAATTTGGGATTAATAACCTCTACCTCGTACCTCCCACACCTAAAGGCGGGCATTGGTTCCAGTGACCCATATAAAAGAACCTACGCAAGATGATCACTGCAAAAGTCGATAAGAAAAAGTCTTACGACTTGTATATTAGATTTTTCATTATTGGATGCAAAAGTATGCCCTGGCTCGAGATCATAGGGTCCATCAGCTAGAGGACCAAAGAATAGAAACATTTCACTTGACTTCGATTTACTGGAGCCTGCATATTTTGAAACCAAAAACTTTGATTGTATAGAAATAAAAAACAACAACGACATTCCATTAACTGAGATAGATTTGATGGGAAATGAGTTTCGATGTTGACATGTTCGATTTGTTAATTGAGGATCTTTTCCAATTGAGTTTGAGGGAAAAACGGAAATGTAATATTATCGATCGGATATTTTTATTTGTTTAAACAAACCGTATTTACTTCATCAGTAGTGTTGAGTTTAGTGAACGAAAGAAGAGTCAGCTAGGATGAGGAAAACTGATGCACTAAGGAAAATGGTCGTTTTCAAGAGATGCTGGTTTTCATTTTTACATACGCTTTTTAACATCTTTTACTGTTGCAACGTTCGAAGCTTCTAGACACTTTCAATAGTTGTGCGTGCTTCAAGTAATCAGCTATGTAAATAAACTGAACAGAGAAAAGAAAGTTGCTTTTTACTCTTGCCAGTTCTTAGCTGTTCTATGACGAAGAATGGTAGATACGAAAAAAAAATATTCTCAATTCTATTTCAAACAGAAGCACGTGTCTGTGCAAGTGTCCTTGTTATTTTTACACAAACTACGAGCATCGCTTACTGATAGATGACGATGTGTCATACGGTGTATGAAAAAGTAAACACTAAACATATCGGATCAGCGTACGGGTGTGGGTTGTTCTTCGTCAATCACCCACATCCACACCCACACAATTGATTTTGTGTGAGTTTTTAAACGAGAAAATCAATGCTCAGATCATTCATGAGCATGTTCTAAGAAAAAGTGAAATGTTTGATCAAACGAACACTGATTAATATCTTCTGTGGGGCATCAAATTTAATCATAAAATACAATTTTGTGGATTTCACAATTGAAATGTTTTCTTCACAACGAAATGAAGCAAACATTATGGTTGTATTTCTAATGTTGATTGATCTTCTGCAAGTTTGGTCGTTAGTTATTTTAATCATCTAACAAAATGAATATATTATTATGCATTAATCACTCTTAGCAATTTGCAAAATTAATCTCACAAGAGAAATAAACGATGATAAATTTTTTACATTGAATTCTTGAATGAAATTTGAAAAAAAGACTTTTGTTGATGTGCCAAATCCTTCGATAATAATAAATGATGAAAAATAATCACATGGTAATAAAATCGTTCAGAATGTTTACTATGATTTGGTGAAGCATTTTTTCAAATAAGATCTCAGAGTAAAATCGCATTAAATAAAAAAAAATGTTGACGAAATCGCAAAAAGATAACTGTTAATAAAAAAATGAATTTTATTGACATGCCATTGTGTTATCTTTTAAAATAAAATTATTTTTCGATCAGAATAAGAACTATCTTAACAAAAGTAACTAGATTATTCATTCATAAAATTAACATTAGATAAATTTGAAAAGGCATGTGTGAATATTTGGGTGTGGGTGTGGGGTTTGGACGAGTTTAAATCTTCACCTCAACGACATCCGTATCCACACCCACATCCCTTTTTGACTCATTGATTGGAAGATAAATCTTATTAATACTTTGATAATTTATGGGACATTATAATTACCTGAGATTTCTTTGCAAATAAGACAGTTTTTGGGACATGAAACATTTGTAAAAATATATCCCTGGAAAATGTTCAGATGTTTTAAACTATTGTGTGATGAAATAGATTTAATAATGTTGAGGTATTGTCTCTTACTGGCTATTTGTATTAGTCGAATGACTGCAGAGGTTTTGTTCATCATATATTAATATGGTAGGAGAAACCTTGTGAATATCGCAGAAGAGACTATGTTGCCTACTTCTCAATCATCCCTTCAACATGCAGTGTCTAGAGAGAACGAATCACATAATGAATTATTCAATTGAATCAAATAATTTACATGTCACAATAAAAACGCATAAGCAAACTCAAAAGTTCTATTGAAAATGATTGTAAGAATGATATTCTATTCAATTTTTTACACTAAGCAACTCCAATAAAATCAAACTTGTTATGCTCAGCACTCTTCTACCACCTATTGCTTGAGGGGCTACCGGGATTTTGTGGAAATCATTTATATTTTCGAAGAAAATAGTAAGTGTAAGTATTAAGTTCAATTCTTTTACGACTTCTCCTTCCCATTACAGACACATAGCAACGTAAGCCTCCATTAGAAACAGGCCACCATTACAGACCTGAGCAACTGCGCACAAAAGGCTTCAGATTTATTTAGCAATAAAAAAACTACTTGAATAGTATGAAGAACATATAAGGTCTAAATAATCCGCTGATGTCATTATTGAATTAGATAGTAGTTACACTTATTTATATTTTCTAAGTCAAGTTTATCGTTTTCGAAAGAATTCAATACATATTATGCTAAAAATAAACAATTTATCATGCTTTCAAAACTACTTTGACCACTATACTCATGCTAAACAAATGAGTTATTACGTTCTAACGAGTTATACCATGCAGCATTCAAGTCTGATTTCAAAATATTTAATTGAATATGAAAAATGTGTATTTAAAAGGACGAAATAACAAAGTTTGACATGGTACAAAAAAAATTTTGACACAGACTCTAACAACCATTATTCATGAATCATATACTCAGTCGATCGTTTTGCACGATGATGTACAGGACGCTTGTTAACGTAAAATATTTTGCATGTTCTGTTCTGCATTGCAAGACATTGCATCAGATTTTGGAAATATACGAAAAGTTAAAAAATAATAAAAGTGTAAGATAGCAGCGAGTAGTTTCGATCTACCGCCCTCTGAGTTATGAGCCCAGCACGCTTCCACTGCGCCACGCTGCTTGTATTTCTATGGGTGTGGGTATGGGTGTGGTTTTCTCTTTGTACACATCCACACGCATACATTTCTGTTGCAAACCTCCATTTTTTGTGCCGATTAGAAAAGAAACTTCTCCTTAAACTATAGCATACATATACAACGATGGCTGTACAAAAGTATCAACGTCAAATTTACTCTTAGGTCTACCTGTTCGCACGAATTCATTTTGTTAATAGCTCTCTGTATGGATGTAGCACATTGAATGAAATAATTAGTTGTTTCATTCAGTGACTTTTGTAATGTATTGCGCGAGACCAGAAGATATGTGAAACGGTACAAGTAAAAAAGGAAAAGTAGCAGCAAGTAGCTTTGATCTACCCCAATCTGAGTTATGAGTTCAGCACGTTTCCACTGCCTCACGCTGCTTCTGTTCAACTTTCAGGTAAAAAAATCGTCATGATGCCAGCCTTTTTTTCAAAATTATTGCATTCATATAAATATCTTATCTAATCAAAACTATTCTGGAAATCTCTTACTTTTTTCTGTCTTTATATGTGAAGTCAATAATCTAGTATAAGATTGCATGTTTATTAGAAAAAAAATATGTGTTCATTTCCAATATTTAGTTTAATTAATCTCTTTTTTTAAATATCTATCTATAGTATTGGCTTTAATGAAGCAAAGAGAGGCATGATTAAATAAATTTTAGAGTACTGAACCAAACTAAGCTATAATCACAAAAGGTTGTAAGAGATGAGTTGATCTGGGGTGGGTGTCGGTGGTGACTTTTTCTACACTCACACCCTTGGAGTCGTTTACGGTAGTTGTTGTCTTATGCAGATAGTGATGACCATCAAGTGACGCCTACATTACATTCGTTTTTTAAAGAAGAAAAGTTCGTAACAAACTGCATAGTTATCGATCAAAATAAGTGAGAAAAAACAAAATGGCCCAAATAAATCCAAAAAGAGTTCCTTCTGCTTGAAACATGGACGAGTTGATTACACTAGTTTCGAAACATTGAAAGAGTGTCACCTGAATATCTACGATTGTACGATAAAGTTCTTTCGACGAATCTAGCGGTAAAAATGTATCTCCATTAGAGAGCAAAATCACGCTGATAGTGTTTTTCTCATTGACCAGCATCAAATGAGTCATGCCTTGTAATCCACCACCATGTCAGACATATCGATGACCATTGCTCAACGTTTGCCAATGCCAACCAAGTCCAAACTTTAGTGATTCACATAGTCCTGTAGAAGTATTGCTTGAATCTTCAATATAGTAAGGGATGAGACCACCGCCAACTATTGTTCGCATTTCGGCAATGGATCGAGGAGTAAGTAACGAAGATTCATTATTGATAAACATACGAAGAAATACAGATAGAGAACGAGATGGCATGCGAAAGAGGCCTGAAGGATAAGTATTGAGGCTGAAGAATGGAATTTACAGCCCTGTTGGAAGATTTCCCTAGACAGATGATTAATTATTAAATCAAATCAATGCTACGTAGTAAAACTATTGACGCGCTTACAGGAATCTGTGTGATATTCAGTTATGGCATTATTTGGTTCCATGCTTGAAGAAAGGATTCATTGAATGCATTCGTATAATGCTTAACAAAATCGTTTCTGTCTTCAAAATCGGAGAGACGAAAATCTGTCTTGTGAATATCGATGCCCAACGGTTTCAGAATATTTTCTTTGACATGTTGATCACAAGGCGTTTTTGTTATTCGTTCGACGACTAATGCAGCCAGAGATGAACCTTCATTTGAATAGAATGTTACACTGCCTGGTGGTTTTGGCAACCAATTCGACGTATCCGGATTCAGATATTGGAAACACATATCGGCCAAACTCGCTTGAGTGAATGCAATATCATCCGGTTGAAAGTAAGTGTCCAACGAATAGTTATTGACAGCGACTGAAGCTGAGTGTGAAAGTAATTTACGCAGAGTGATCGAATGAGAAGGTTACTGCGGATGAAAGATTCTTTAGTGAGGTTCCGACAAATATTGGTTGGTGTCTGTGTTGAGATCAACAAGTTCTTTCTCGACAAGTTGCATGACAGCAACTCCAATAAATGTCTTTGAGATAGAGGCGAGAATAAAAATCGACTTATCGACATCCATAGACACTGCTGGTGAAAGAGACTGGTAACCAAAAGCTTGTTCGTAGAGTATATCACTAGCATTGACTACAATAATTACGGCACCTGGAATATGAACTTTATTGAAAGCCTTCTCGATAAATTGTCGATTTGGACAACTTGAACCATTGGTGGCAGCAATAATAAAACTAAGAACATGCAGACGCAACAATAAACACATAATCTTTCGATTCTATTTGACAAACAATAATCGTTTTATTTCTAGTGTAGGATTAAACTGTCATTAAATAGAGCATCTAAATTATGAATAGAAGAATAAATGGCAATAAAATCATGTTGTTATCTTCGTCTTTCTTGTCTTTTTTATATTCTGAGGATAAAAGAAGTATTTTCAATATTTGAGAATAAAAGTATACTTTCTTTGATTCTCGATGATTAAATGTCACTCAGAATAGACAGTATGTGTTCACTGTTCTTTTATGGCTCAGTGACTTATCGCGTGAGTCGATGAAATACGACGAGGTGTGGGTGTCGACGTCGGTGTGATTGTGGGTCTTCTTTTAAGCCACATTCACACCTATACCCTTTGATTAAACAATGTGGGTGTGAATGTGGATGTGGGTACGGGTGTGGGATGGGGCGTGTGGGTGTGGGTGCATGTGGGTGTTGTTTAAGCGGTTATCAACACCCACACCCATACCCTTTTGAACCGGAGATTTGACACAACTTGTAGTATTTTTTTGAAAAAGTTTTTCTTTTATTGAGGGAGGAGGCGGATTGTGGATAGTGAGAGAATGACTTATTGAGCGTTATAGTGATGACAATTGCGATCTATTGGTGGTACATAAAATGGCGGCGGAGGCATTGAGGCTCTGAGGCCTCAGTCTCATCTGGTTTTCATCAATGAAAGCTCAGTCTCACCTAATATTAAACTTAATATTTCATACGAATACATACTTTTCAAGGCTTTTATGCACTTGTGGTAGGCCATCCTAAGCAGGAAGGTAACTCGGTCAATAGTATAGAACTATCGCATTTCCTAGCGGATTTCATTCTGGAAATCAGGATGCAAACGACTGTTTTCAAACAAAATATTGTCCAGAACTACTTTAAAAAATTATTGATTCGTTAGTATTTAACAGCTGTATGAAATCAGTTTAGTTTCACCATCTCTGGACATTTTCTACAGAGTTCTTTAATATGATTATTGCAAGCGAGGTCATATTTGGCAGCAGAAATATCGAACAACTTTTTTGAGTTGAATACAAATATGGGCGTCTTCCTATAAAAATTCGGTACCTACACGAGGGTCTATCGATCTGGAAAACCTGTAGACTGAGGCTTTTTGAAAAGTTTCGTTTTTTGTAATCATGGAGCGTCTTTGTTTACGATAAACGTCGCCAGAGTGACCGTTAGTTATGGCAAGAGTATTCAGTCATTTCCTTGGTGCCGTTTTCTTCCGATGAAGCTGTAAGTAATAGTAGAGTTTCTAGAAGTTTGAAAAAACAATTTGCTTCACGATAAAATTCTATTCACTTTGCTACGATTTTCCGGATTTTTCTCAAACCCTGACTTCTTGCATTAAAATTGGTTGAATATAAGAAGACGTCTTGTGCATTTTAGACCGCAGAAAATTTACCTTGTTATGACCTACATCTTATTAAGATGTAGTCATAAGGAATGTCTATCTGTATCGACAGGTTTATATATCTGTTTTAATTACACTCAGTCATTGAAAACTCACAATTAGTATAATTCTATCACAATTAGTAATTAACCAGTCAAGATTAAAATCTTTAAAAAATTTCAAGTAACCGAAACCGAGATAAAAACCTAATAAGTTTTGTGTTCTTTATTTTGAACTAAGTTTTGTGTGGGTGGGGATGTCAATCTTCTAGTCCGCTCACGCCCACACCCACTCACTTTCACACCCACTAGAGCCCATCGGGTCCAAAAATTTTGCAGTCGGTCATATCTGATTTTGATATTCTCAATAAAAATTTTATAAACCTCACCCCGTAATGAAAGACCCTGGTTCTTCTATTATGTCCAAGTATACAAAATTTTCAAAGTGATCTTCAATTGTATTCCATTTTTTTTCCATAATTTTTAATTAAAAAAGCTTTTCAGAAAATCAAAACAATTTTATGGATTTCAGATTAGATTTTTATGGTTTTAAAAGTTCAGGAAAACATTGATCACAGTCTTTTAAGATTTTCAGCTCGAAACCCTGGACATCAGGCATCTTTTAGCATAAAGGCACTTATTAAATTTCGAATGTTCGAAAAATTAATTAATATGGGACGTCTTCTATTATATCCACCGCATTGTTCCTCGAAGCAAAGTTTTCAATCATGATGGTTTTTATTTTGTGGGAAAAGGTTTAATTGTAATCAGATAGTTATACCGAAGATATCGGATGCTTTCTTTCGTTTTTTCCATTCGGTGACTTGCGATAAACTGCACATTTCTCATATCATTAGGAATCACCGGGTCCAACATTTTTTCGAACTTGGACCCGGATCCGAGCGGGTTCGGAATCAATCCGACGGACTCTAACACCCACACTCTTAACATAGAAGATGTATTAGCATGTACATTGTTATTTGAATTAACTGCATGCAATAGATTCGATGTTTCAGAAAAAAAACAAATCCTGGAGATGTTTCTGTGGATGTGAATAAGAGATGCATTTGTTGATCGTTAAACTTTTAATTTTTTCCGATGAGAATTCTGGAAAGAGAAGTGCCATGTTTCTTTGTTTGGATGTATGCAGTCTCATAAATTATAATTATATCTTTTAATTGTGTATTTCAATATATTCATAGTTTTTCTTAGGAAGATATGTAACATAACATAAAACAAAATACTTAATAATGCTTTCATTATGTAATGGTTTCAAGGACGAAAAAATTACTATTTATCAAACGTCTTCAGAGAATACTAGACGCAAGATATTCTATCATGTCGCAGCGTACAGAATTTTTGAAGATGATTATGTGTTGCGGTCAATAAGTTTTCATAATTCCTAAAATAAGTTGCGTAAACCAAAGTTATTCTGTAGACCTAACAGGTAATCCATAAGGTTTTAGAAATTAGAAATAATGCTGATGATAATGTCTTAAGATGTTATGCTCAAAATCCTGAAAACGATTCATATTTTAATATAAATATTCTCATCAAGATTCCAATTTTTTGAGAAACGAATCAATCGCAGAAGGCCTTATATTGGATCAAAAGCATAATTTCCCAAAGAGGCATCCTATCATATCGAACTGTATTGATATGGAAGGGTAGTTTATTGTGGGGAGGCGTTTTCTTTCAGTCTAAAATAAAACATACACTTTCAATAATTCAAGAGTTAAACCAGATTATTCTGATTGTTTTCATTGATTTTTTCTTTAAAAATTCGATCGAAAACGTGAAACTGCGGCTGGTAGGACTGAGTCTCACCTAACTCTACCCTAGTGATGCGACTACCATTTAGATAGTAAAATTTTGTTGCAATATCAAACTTTTCATCTTTTGATTCATTATATGATTCAATTGTGACAACATTTTAGATTGTATAATCTTTGCTGAAAAAATAATTTATGCTGTTATTCATTTCTTTGAGTAATAATATAAAAAAATAAGCGCTATTTTTATGATTTTTGCTCTACTTCTTCTGTTGATAATATCTATTATCATATCCATGTTTGTTGTGATATGGACGCTGTTGATTCTGGCGAGGAGATGAAGTATAACTATTAGATGCTGAATTATTATTTCTATTATGTGGTGTCATTGATTGTTGTTGTTGGCGATAACAGTTACTATGATCTATAACTTCTTCGCTTCTGGAATTGCTATAGTTCGTAGACGATGACGGAATAATTCTGCATTGGTAACTGTTGGGATTGCCCTTCACCTTGTTGAAATCTTCACTCCTATAAAAAAAAAGACGTTAAATTAATATACATACGCTACATATCATATAACGATGACTCTTAAAAATATTCGATTAGGTTTATTTTCTAGTTTATTTCAGTTATTGCAAATGCTCATAAGAATTTCATTTCTAACAAAAGTTTTGAAGAAGAAAAATGATTTGCTGGTTTCCTAGAGGTTGGAATTCTGAAAACCTAAAACAAAGTTTTCTGGCTGTTAAAGTTGGCAAATAGAATATTATTTAGGTTACCTTCAATAATAGAGCAAACAGCAGTGGGCAAAATTAAAGGTCTTCGAGTTCTCAACAACATTTTTTGACCGAGATATATCAATTCTAGAAAAATCACAAAAATCGTTTTTTGTTTTTTTTCGAATGAAGCCACCATTTTTGTGCCTGCGATAGAATTGATATACGTTGATCAAAAAGTGTCGTGGGAAACTCGAAAATATTTAATTTCGTACACAATTGTCTGTTCCATAATTCAAAACATTTCAATAGAATTCTATTTACCTATCCCATGAGCTTAAAAACTTTGTTTTAAGTTTTTCAGAAATCGTATCTTTAAGAAACTTAGCAATTGTTTTCATTTTGGAAAACTCTTGTTAGAATGAAATTCTCTATTCAAATTACTCTTAGGTTTCTTATTAGAGTTTGCCATAGCTGTGAAAAATTGAAAATAAAGTTGATTGAATAACTGTGTGACCTATTGTACTTATGCAATGTGACCTACCAGTTAATTGCAGCAGCGAGAGAAATTTTTTCAGCATCAAGACAATTTTCAATAATAATAATAAAATAAGTTTCACGTTCTTGTTTTCTCCTATCATTTACAATTGATCGACACGTATCTAATTCATTTTGAGAAATATTAAAACGAGTATGTTCTTCATTAAATGATCCACTAGTGCCTTTGACTTCAAAATAACAATATTTAGTTGTTGGTCCTGATATATGAATAAATACTTGACGCGTATCTTGTAACTCGAAATCGAAACCAGCCGAATCATTTATATTATCACGACATTGTGGATAAGTAACAAGACGTGATGATGAACGCCAATTTTTTGTTGGTGTTACATCAACCGACCCATAATGATTTTGTAGATAGACGAAAAAGAAATGTTCGGCATTTTGACCAATACGTATTTGTTCGATACCATCTACAATTGATGGATCTCTCCAAATATTTGCCAAGTTCACATTTCGAGGGATATTACTTTGTGTTTTTACTAGACTTCGATAAATTGTATCGTCAGCAATCCGATCAACAGCAACTGATTCTATTGTAA